AGGGGCCTATCAAAAGATTTGAGCAAGGAAAAAGCAAGGGGATTGCCGTCGTCCATATCGGACATTATCTCGCCTGTAGGTCCAGCGAACCAGGTGAGGCATTTGCATTGATCACGGAACCGAGATTCCCTTCCATCGGTCATGTTCCACTAAGCAATCATCACCCCATCTTGCCTCGTCTCGATGAAGATGATCGACCAGGACTTCCTCGAGTCGAAAATAGTATTCCGTTCAGTCTGAATACATTTCATGGTAACACTCGTTCTCCACATCGTCGACAATCTCAAGCCACACGGTCCCAAAAGGGAGAATGGGGACCGTCAGCAGGTCGGTACCAGTCCTGTCGCCCACTTCAGCCCCTTCTGCCTCCACATCAAACCCCACAACCTCCACAGATCCGTAAAGGAAGTTTTTTCCCCACCATCCCGTTCACCCCCGGAAGCATCTAGTAAATTCGGGCCCCTCCGGATTTACCTAGCGGATCGCCGCGAGATTGAGACTCAAGTGATTCAAAGAAGTTTGGGGGGGGGGGGGCGCGACTCCGAGGAAGCAGTGGAAGGAAGCATATGCCTGATATGAGGGTATGAGGGGTGAGAATCCGAAGGGAAGCATCTCAAACATGCGTATGAGAAAGTATGGGAAGAAAGGGCAAACAGGAAATGGTGGTTCATCAGTGCAGAGATTGCATAAAATAAGAAGGAAGATGATAACTGACCATTCGCACTTGTCCCACATAAAGTAGTACACAATTGGTCCAACCCATTCGGAGCGACAGTCATCAAACCTTGATTTATCCATTCTGACCATTGGACAGGAGGGAAACTTCCTAAACCTGGTCTATTCAAGGCAGCTTTGATAAATTCGTCCTGGAATGTCAATACTTTTTCCTATTTACTCGAATATGTCTGTTCATCCAGATGAGCCAATCTGTCGTATTTCACCTCAAACCCATGAACCGGTACTTCCGCCTTATTCCAGGATACGGACACTTACACTTTAACACTTGAGAAGACAAAGAGGTCGTAACGTCTTGGAAATGGGCAATGAGGGTGGTGAATTGTGGATCAGACCGAGGAAGAAGGATGGAATGCGTTTTCCGTTTGATAAGAACCAGGTAGGTTGGGAAGTGGAATGGGAGTGTGGTGGGATGGGAGCAAGGAGAACTGACCGATTTGGCATATTCCAACAAAGGAGGAGAGTTGTATCCTACGGCTATAGAAGCGACTTGGGCGAATACGTCCAAAAGGATATTACCATCTGCATCTACGATATAATTACCTGTCTGTCAGCTACAATCTTGCAAACTTCCTTTCGTAATACCATGGCACATCTGATTTTCGTTACAAGCCTGTGGCCCAAGTGCAAGTGTGTATTACGTGCCAGGGGAGCCACGAGCATGGATGATATTTCAAGCAGGTAGATAGATGACAAAGACAACAGTGTATGAAGAAAAAGATGAGTGACAATTAATGAGAGACCCACCAGAAGACTTTTCATAATCCGCAACGAAATAATGAGCTCTGGGATCTTGGAACTTTCCTATTTCCTCTGACTGCATGATTGGCGTTATACCATGATCATTCGAGAAGATGACTTACCAACGCTAGAGACTTAGGACCAGGGACGGAGGTCAATATAGATGGAGCACGAGGTTGAGAAGGATGCAAGTCGATGGAAGAGAAATGCCTGGAGAAGGTACGACGGGTGAGGGAACGGGGGAAACGGAGGACGCTCATCCTTGTCAAGTTAATGAAGGTGGTTGGAATGGGGAAGAGTATGTGATGGACCCATACTTATATCTTGTGATGTTCCGTGGGGAGAAGCAAAGTGAGTATGTGTGGATGGGGGGAAAGATAAGATGGCATCATCCTAGAAAGGGACGGATGGGATTGTTAGTGGTATACCTGGCAATCTGTTGCCCCACAAAAAAGGCTTCAGATAGCTCATTTACTTTGACCTCAGGCGCATGTGCTTCCCATGCTGCAGTGTCACTCAAATTTTCAATCAAGCGTAGAAGCGGGTCTTGCGTTTTATAGGCATAGTCAGAGAGAGACTCCGGTGCCTTTTCAGTATAACCTTGAGACATGATTGATCCGAATTGTGGATGAGAGATGAAGAATAGTGGGGAATAGAGGCAGGATGAGCCTTTTAACCGCACACACTTGGCTTCCGTGAAACTCAAATCTGACTTGTGGGTAGATTCACAGGTAGAAGGAGAAGGCAGCATCAAAAGATCCTCAATGATGTCATGAGAAACTTTACAATTCCATGGGAAGCTCTATGATGTCATGAGAAACTCTGTGATGTCATGAGAAGCTCTATGATATCATGAGAAACTCTGTGAGGTGAGAAACTCTGGGTGTCATGAGAAACTCTGTGAGGTGATGAGAAACTCTGTGAGGTGGTGAGGAACTTTGTGAGGTCACGAGGTACTGTTTGCGGAGTGGGGTGGTATGTCTGACGATACACGACAGGATATCTAGTGCAGTGTCCTGTCGAGACGGAGGTCTTGTTCATTCCTCAACCTAGCATTGTGTGCTAGATGTTCTATTACAAGTTCCATCATTCTTTGTCTCCAATGACCTCGTTGTCCAAACTCTCTCTCTCCAACCTCGCGCACACATGTGAAGCTTCTCGCCATGGAGATGTTCCATTCAGTATCTCATCAAGCAGCTCTTTGCTAGAACTGTCATTCTCGGCCATGTGTTCCTCATTTTCTGCCATAGCTCCCAACATTGCTGAGCTCCAGCCATCCCTCGAAGAGCGCAAGATATCTTCTAGCTTGGGATTCGCTTGGATGTTACTCAATTCTTCAGTCTCCGCCTCAGGTAAAAAGGAACATAGATGTCTACCAAGCACAAACCCCGCTGGTTGGCTGTGATGTACTCCTCATGGCTATAGGAACCACAGTTTTGTACTGCAGTCTGCGGCTTGATGTTGTTGAATATCTGGGATAGGTCTCTTTCAATGATGTTGAGACTGATGTGGTCGGAAGAATACATATTCTACTCAGCAACACCCCTGTCAAAACCGTAATATACTCCACTGATAAGTTCTCTCCTTGTTCTATTCCCGTGGTTCAGCAATGGGTAAAGACAGTGGCTTGTGATGTATGAAGCCAGTGCTAGACCAGAAGATGGTAACACAGGATATCTGTACTGTACCTATGTATGTGGAGGACTTGGGGATCACGAAAGTGAGAAAGCTCTGGCCGTGTCCGGACCCCTCTGGAGCTGCATGGTGCTCTGGCCGGGTCCAAGAGGGGGGTTTTGAACCATGCAGCTCCAGAGGTGCACGTCTCCAGCCGTGTCCATAACATGTACATCATCCACTCAAGTTGTCACGAAGTGACAAGACAGCTTGGTTAAAGTTGGATGGGTTGGGTATTTAACCAGCGACCGACGGTTACGCTTAACCGCCGGTTAATAGGCCTCTTAGCACAGTGGTTTAGACCACTGTCTCTGAAGGGCACTGTTATATTGTCTGTCAAGGATACTGCCTACCCTGGGACAGAGGACAAAGGACAAGGGGACAAGGACTAGGAGTGACAAGGAATACACTTAGATAACAAGACTGAGTCCAACAAGGAATGGGACTGTGACCCAAGGAATGTCTCTGGCTTGTCTAACAAGACTAGGAAGGACTTGGACTGGAACTGTAACTGGACTGGACTGGACTCAAAGAAAGGGTGGCAATGGAAATGACTTTTGATCAAGAACTAAAGAAGAACTATGTAAAACTATGAGGGGTTTATATCTATGAATTGGGCATTCTACCAGGTGGAGTCGTCCTGCGTAGGAAACCGTCGTAATCCTTGTGTTCCCTACTGTTTTCTAACTAACAGCAACTGACTGCGCCCTGTTCTTGCCGTGCTGCGTATAATACGCTGTTGACTGCACGCAGAAGTACGCATGACGACGTAAACCATATGTTCGCCTAAAATCCAACTATACTAAAGTCTTGGGTCTCATGCCATACCAGGCATTGTAACTGAGAATAACATAACTAACTAAAGGTCCAGGTCTCTTGCCTCAAAGGCATCAGAGCAGAACTAAAACATGCGGAAACTGATACTTGTGATTCATGACATTGTCCCAATGCTGCTTAGTTGGTCTTGTGACACAAGTCCAGTCAACTTTTCTTAAATTGTCTCAACTTATAACATCATACAACATGTGGATCACCCCCCAACCTTAATCACCCTCCCATCACTGTGTCACGACCCAGCTCTTGCAAGGTCCTGACCCCAAAACCCTGAGCTGTTGGAGCCGATATGAGCCGATATCAGTCGATATGAGCCAATATCAGTTGATATCAGTCAATATCAGTCAATATGAGTCGATATCAGTTGATATCAGTTGACATCAGTTGATATCAGTTGCAGTGTTGTCAGGTTGTTATTAAGGGTCGTTTTTAAGTTACGTAATAACCCGTAATTACAGCCTTAATTTGGTGGTCCAAAAAAGAGGGCTTAAAAACGTAATATCATTTTCCTCATGCTGGGCTATGGGGACTCATTCCTGCATTTCTTTGAGTAACACATGCACTGTATCAACACATTCCATCAGCTTCTGAAGTGACTACAGCTTCTAGAATGGCATAAATGGGCAGGAGTGACATGAATGATTGCAGTATAGTGAAGGTAGAGGACTATGGTGGAGGTGTGTTGTGTCACGTGACCTATTCCTTCACCACTCATAGTAGGGGATGATATTACGTTCTTAGACCTTAATAACCCACCCTGGCTACCCATTTTACAACCCTTAATATCTTAACCCTTAATATAACAACACTGATCAGTTGATATCAGTTGATATCAGGTGATATCAGGTGATCATTGAATTACGTGTTGGTCCTTCAGAAGAGTATAAATACTAGACATATCTACTTTGTAGTTTTCCTTTTCTCAAGGATCAAAATTTTATTTGCCACTCCCAAAAGACCTCTTGACATACTACTTACGCTCAACACATCCCTCATCATCATCACACCTGTCTACGCCATCACACACGTCCTTGTCATCATCTCGACTGTCACAGGGTTTGTTCTTCGTTAAGTTCCTAGGACTGACGGCCAATAACTTCGTGGGCTTTGACCTTTAACTACCTCGGTGTTTGAAATATGAAATAGATGACAATAACTTCTGGGTGTAATAACTTCGTACTTTACTAACTTCTATCACTAAGACAACAACCAGAGATCGTCAAAGATCTCTGGGAACTTTGCCCCTTAAGTACTTCGTCCTTCCCTAACTTCGCCTACGCAGAACTTCGTTCAACCCAAAGCCCCGAGCTTTGTACCTGATGAACTTCCTCCTCGACAAAGTTTGTGCCTCCCTAACTTCTTCTCTTCCTAACTTCGTATTCCCCTAACTTTGTATCTGCCTAACTTTGTATCCTCCTGACCTCCTACATGACTAACTTTGTCCCCGACGAAGTTAGTTTCCTAATACCCTCGTGGGTGGTGAAGTTCATGAGAACTGGGTCGTTGATGGTGAACTGATGTCCAAAGGAACCTCGTTGATGGGAAAAAGATGATGTGGTGCCGTGTGATATCGACCTGCCTATCAATAAAGGTGAACTCACACAAGTTCTTGCTCAGGAAGAAGGAATGAGCGGTTGGGTTATACAATTCAAAGCTACTGGAACAATCATGGTTTCTTGGGATGTGCGAAGTGCTTTGGAATATACAGTACCAGCACCTATCGTACACGAACATTTACCAGCTGCAATCCCAATACAACCAGCTCCCACTTGTACGCCTACGGTCAATGTACGACCTGCTCCATTACCAGAACCACTTCCTGCCCCTCCACAAGCCCTTACGCCCCCTATCAAACAAGTAAAACAACTGTCACAAACTAAGTCGTGACACCTCAACTATCCCACCAGCAACGACCCTCCTTTGACCATCAAAACCCCATCACGTCATAATCTCTCCAATCTACACGTAACTCAGGACAGCTGGGACCGACTACGGCAAAGTAAGACGGAGTTAGGTGGACTAGAGACAATGGTGGCAGAAGTACGGCAAAGTTGGACGGAGTTAGGCAGAGTAGGGACAATGGTGGCAGAAGTGCGGCAATGTTAGGCGGAGTTACTCGAAGGTGGAGAAGGATGGCCAGGGACTCGGAGAAGTTGGACGAAGTTTGTTGAAGTACGTCTAAGCGCGAGAGGGTTGGATGAACATCTAGGAGGAGTAGATAATAGTAGTTGAGAAGATTACTGAAGTTCTTCAGCGATCCTTGATTGTTGTCAGTAGTGAGATTCATAGAGATAGCTACATTCAAATCGAGATACATCACCATCAGTAAAAAAACCCTGGTCAGAGTGACTACGTTGAAGTACACCGTGGTTACACCCCTTTCAACGCCTGCGCCCTTCTGTTTGGGTGAGACACCAACTCCAAAGTGTCAAGTTAGCCGAGGTTCTTGGACCGTCGGTCCGTTAAAGAGAAGTGATTCGACTGCCGTGACACAAGGTAAGGCTAGAAGCACCAGGGATAACAGGCTGGTAAGGAGACGCAGGACAAAGTGTGGCAAAGTGAACAGAGTAGAATGTTGGCGATGTGGGGAGGTACAGTGAACTTGGATCGCGACTACGCGCACACCATGAATCTAGTTTACACACACCATTCAGGGTCAATCACAGGGTTTGTGAAGCCACTCCCCTGGAACTCCAGCCTGAATCAGCCCAATTTCCTGAGAGCCTGGGCCATGTCACACAGGTTGAGCCCCGACGATCTCGAGTGATACAATTAATTCCGCTTTTACCTCCACCGCCACATTGGTCATGTTTCAACTTTACCAACTCTTCTCTATCATTTCAAGTCATAGAATCACAAAATAATTTATTTCATCACATTTTACCTATCAAAATTCTAAGCTCAAGGCTGCGACATGGTCACAGAGGTTTCCCCTTCCATTCTACGTACTTTAGCGGCCTTGACACATGCATTAGCGGCCTCACAAAGACAAAAAGGGAAAGAACTCACCCTTTCTAGATCTTTGGCCTAGGACTGGATTCTTTTTGTCTTTTCCATGAGGATTTTTCTCTGTGCGGCCGTTTCTGGACACTTATTCGACTTGTGGCCTGGTTTGAGACAAGTAGAGCACTTTGGGAGAGGTTTCTCGACACCCCAGGCCCGTTCACCTGCAGAAGCAATTGTACCGGTCTTATGTACCTCGCGACAACCTGAAGGAAGTTTACCTGCATGTTTAGCCTTCTCCTGAGCCCTCGTAGACTTCAATGGTGGGTTCCTGAGCCTTGGTTCTTCAGAGAACTCTTCAACTTCCACTTCAAGCTGAACCACCGAATGTCATGAATAGTGATAAGGAATTCTGACTCATGCTCAGAATAGTGATAAGGAAATATGACTCATGCTAGGAACTGTGATAAGGATTGAAGGAAAATATGAGTCATGGTATTTAGCAGTTCAGCAGTGAGGCATTTACGTGATTGGCTGAAGCCTGGAAGGTTCAGCAGTTTAGCAGTGAGGCATTTATGTGATTGGCTGGAATTAGTTTCCCGTGGTGCACTCACTTTGAGGCATTTATGTGATTGGCTAGAAAATCCCTCACACGCTTTTTATTTAGTACACCTACTTTAGTTTTGAAGGGTTCAAAAGGAGCACATCTCCCCCCTCTTTCTTCAGCAATGTATCTTCATCTTGAAGTTGAACTTCATCTTTGAAAGTCACCTAGTTGGTCCTAACCCAACACCTCAGTACCCTCAGTACCTAAGGCAGTCATCAAGCTCTACGAGCCAGAGACTAAAACCCTTCAGTACCCAAGGCAGTACTTTGCAACCACAGTCTACCCGCAGGCGTGACACCGAAGGATTTTCACGATTTTTGCTGAACTGTTCATCAATCGCAGATTTCAAGCTCTTCATGTGACTCATTGAGGTTAGTTTCCACTGGTTGTGAAAGTCTTCCGGTTTAAGAGGACGATCCTGACGAAGCAGAGAGAGAATTCAATGAGAACAAGGGATCCCAAGGGCCGAAGTGGTGGTACCTAAGCAGGGGACACGGGGAGGAGGATTTTCACTTCGGCCACTTTTGATAGCTTGATCTGTAAGATTTTTTTGATGTGAAACCATTTTCAGAGCTCTGTCAGAGATAATACCATTCACCTGCACATTAGCAACACTCAGCTAATGTCTGGACAGAAGACAAGGAAGGAGAAAGACCGGAGACGTACCAAAGACATGAGAGGACCTGTCTTAGTAGCCTTTTCGTCATTTCCAACTCCATGGCCATTGTGTTCGTGGCCCATTGATCATTAAAATACTGCTGAAGATCATCCACCACATAATACATGTCTCTCCATCAACGGTCCAGGTATGTCTTGGCCAGGCTATGTCTTCCTTCAATGGGAGAAGTCGTACGAACCCCAAAATGACAAAATTCGTTGGTGTACGCATAACAAAAATGCTCCTTGTGATTGTCCAATAAAGTCATGACGTGATCCACTGCAGGACGAAAATTTTCAGAGTACTCTTCCTTTAACATCATTATCCCGTCCTCCATTGCTTCAACCGTCCTGGCCTGCACAATCCACACTGTCCGGGCCCTCACAAACTCAAGAAACTTCGGCTTCCACTCTTCTAGATGATGAAAATGTTTTCCAAAATTGCGCTTGAGGCTTTCCTTTATGTGCCAGAAGCAATAAACGAGTTTGATGTCGGGATATGAGTGTTCGAGACCTCTGTGCAGAGCAGCTTGCTGATCTACCACTGCTACCTTGAACTTTTTCACCATTCCTCCTAACAATTCTCGGAGAGCTTTGATAGCTAGCTTGTACCAAGCTGTTGTTTCACGAAATATGAATACAACTCCTGCAGTAATTTTTTTCCCAGTGGCTGTAAATCCAACCATATGAAGCATTGGTAGTTTATACGCATTGGTTTTACAAGTCGCATTGAAGTCAAACAGATAAGGAAATCGACGGGCCAGAGCTCTGGCTTTGGGGGTGGAAAAGGCAAGGCTACAGAGCTGATCGTCTTCGTTCTTGAAGGCTTTAAAAAGACTGTTGGTACCCTCGAGCTTCTTGATACACACCTCTGCAGCAGTGTGTCCTGCACGAGCTTCTTGGCGAGTACGAAAAGACAGGTTGCTGATGTCTTTGGGGATGATGGTGAGACCGAACTTCTTGGCAACTTCAGCACAGATTGTTCGCTGTTTACGACCTTTGGCTGACTCTTCTTCAACAAATTTGCGAGCTTCAGGAGAGAGACGGCAAAGTAACTTTAAGGAGACGTCTTTTATTGGTGGGTGGTTATGAGTACCATTTCTAACCTCTGCAGACCAATCCCATGTGTCCTTTTCCTCCAAAATCTTTATACCACACGCCCACGCATGGTACCCACACCCTGTCTTGATTGATTTACAGTTTCTCAAAGGTTGAAGTGGTGGATGGGCCCAAATGGCAGCTGAGTCAGGAAGTGGTAGCTTTGGGACATGGTTTTCAGCCTTTTCTCGATAGGGACGATATTCCCCGTTACAAACACATCGAAAATCGATGACACGACGAGTAGGGCTTGTGTACTTTGAGTGGGCGATAATGAGAGCGCAGTTGTGGTCTGCATGAAAGACATACAGGTCGCGAAGCATGTCTTTCTCTGAGTACCAGCTCATAAATTCCCGTGAGGGGTGGCTGAGTAGTTCGAGGGGATCTACTGCGTTGAAATCATGGTCCGAGGAGGCCTGTGAGCTTTGGTGGTGGAGCCCAAGAAGACTGGGAGGCTCAGTATGAGCAGGAGATGAAGAAGGGGGGGGGGTTGATACATGTCTTGGTTCGGTGGAGAAGGAAGAGTGATAGGACGTCCTTCTCTTTCAGCGGTTTCGATGTCATTGATGAGTTGCAGGAGATCCAGATAAGGGAGTTCTTCATCGTAATCATCAAAGGGGATGTCTTCTTCATTCTGGAAGGGAAAGATAGGCTCAGACATCTTGAAAAAAGGTGGGGAGATGTCTAGAAACATGTCAGCATATGGCGTTGACTGAAGTTCGAAAATGTTAAGAAGGAGGAAAGTCGTATGAGATCAAGAGACACTCTTACATGACGTTTCTAGTATCAACAGAAAGCTAGAGAGCAGGAGAATTGATTGGTGAAGACAGCAGAGTGAAATGATTACACAGTGCTGTTTTAAGAGGTTTGGCGTATAGGTGAGATGAGCCAAGATACAAGTTGAAATGATGTACGCGTTGAGTGGCATGTGTGACGTGTAATTTTGAACCACGTAGTGGTTGAAGGTACTCAAAACGTATGACAGGAAAAGGGGAGGTAAGGACTAGAATGACAACTTTTCCGTGTGAAAAGACTAAATTGACATCACACCCTACAATAACATCAAAGGACTAAAATGACATCACCACTTTTAGGAAATTTTGGTCACGGCACAATGAAAATGACACTTTCTAGTATCCCTGTGGGGTAAAAGTTATCTTCAAAGGATCAAGTCTCAAAATTCATGGATAGGGATGGAGAATCATGTAATTTGACTCCTGTCATTTTAGTCCTTTGATGTTATTCTAGTCCCTGGTGTTATTCTAGTCTTTTCACCCGGAAAAAGTGTCATTCTAGTCCTTACCTCGGAAAAGGGCAATTTCAGGCAATCAGGAAACTAAAATCAGCTGATCATAGCCAAAAGAGGAGTTTTTCAGGAGTGCCTGCTCAAAGGACACCAATACCCTATGATTGACCCTGAATGGTGTGTGTAAACGAGATTCATGGTGTGCGCGTAGTCGGGATCGTGAACTTGGGCCAAAGAGAACAGAGTGCGGGGCAGTGCAGAGTTGTGGGATATTCTACAAGGGGAGCAGAGAGGTATAGATAGTGTACAGATCACTGAACTTTCTCAGCAATTTTTGATTGCTGTCCGTAGCCAGAGATACAATCAGTAGCTGCCACCATCAAACAAGGGAGATATATGACTAAGCAGCACAACCTACTATGGCAAAGTGAGCTGCAGCACTCCAACAATCATCTTTGTCTTGTCAGTGTCAGGATCACGGGTACCTGGTTACGGGAGTGTAGAAGTACGACTACTACACTCCTGCAAACTCGGAGAACTTGCCCGATTGGGGGTCCACCTTTTGGGCAGTGAAATTCGGACGTATCTATGGCGTTAGGTCAGTGATCGGCCGACGACCTCTAATGACGTGGTGATTGGAGGATCTCGTCTGTAAATAGTGGTTTCAGCTCTCTGTTTCTTTCTCTGTCTCTCTGATTAATTGTCTTTTTTGATTCAAGCGCCCTACCTCAACTTACTGCCACCCTTAAGACTGTTTAAAAAACACCAGTGCAACTTCATCATCATCAGTCTTATATTCATGACAGGACCACTGTTAATAGACAGAATCCTCCAAACTGAGCCTGAAGCTCCTTCCTCTTCTCTCCTACTTCCAGGGTGGAGACCCTGAGGAAAGCCTGCATGAAAAACAGGATTTCAAGCTACCTTACAGAATGCTCTGAGTCATCCTGGCAATTGCCAAAGAGATCTTGGCATCAAAGGTTGGGAGCACGGATAAAGGATCCATGAAATGTGGTCGTTTAATACCTGCAACTTTCCCATGCTATCGTCGCGATAACGACGTAGGACACTACCCTGAGAGACCCCGGGCACCATCCTCGACCAGGAACCTAATGAACCGATGTATTGAATTAGAAACACAAGACTATTGGGGGTGATTCCTATACTAATTGTCACAAATCATAGTGACATCCCCTCACCACGACTACACCGCCTC